AAGACGCAGGAAATCCGGTCATTAAAATCCCTACTTGGGCATTAGCAAAGGCAGTGGCGTTCTCTCCTCCTCCCCTAGTGCAGAGGGGAGAACAGCACCCTCCTGGCAGCCTCTGGCTCTCCAGTGTCCGTGGCTCTCTGCGTCCCATTGTTCCCGCTTGGGGTTGCTGGGCTGAATGGGTGGGTGTTAATCCCCAGCGGAGGGGAAGCTGTCTGGCAAATGGGAGGTTAATGGACAGACAGCAGGGTGCATTGTACTGTGTGTGCGGTTTCAGCAGCCAGCGGCAGGGAAGTGGTTAAAGTCCTATTCATTCCCCCTCTTCCCTCCCTCCCTTTTTTGGGGAGGGGAGCGCAAGGGGTGGTAACAAGCGACCGGAGCCTGTTCTAATCTCTCTGGAATGTAACCAGTTTGAAACTTTTATGGCTTCAATATGCCATTACCTTGTTTTTCTGTGCGGGGCTCTGTACAGTGAGCGTTTGTGCGAGGGACACGGGGTTGTTTTTTCCACTTTACCGCCGAACCATTAGCTCTCACCCCCTTTTTGTATATTTAGAAAGGGTTTCCTCCCCCGCCCCCCACCCGAAACGATTCACATGAGAATCGGCTTTTATCCATCTCTCTTGGAAGCGCCATGTCTTCCCCCGCCCCCTTTTCCCCCAGCCGTGTCTCCACTTACTGATGAGAAAGCCCCCTTTGTTGATCGGAGGGGGCTGGGGGAAGGGGAGGGTGTCCGCGCGCGCGCGCGCGTGTGTAGTAATAAATAAACCAGCTGGAAAATGCCCAGGTCGGGCGTGTTGCATAGGGAAGAGTGTCCCGCATGCCTTTTTTGAGCTGAAGGGCTCTGTAGCCCATGGGACGCTGGATGGCCATTGGGGCACGCGGCCTCGTGTCCCAGCGAGCCAGGCGCCGTGCACTTGCCTCTGAGAAATGACTCGGCAGTCCGGGAGAGCTCCAGTGTTTTGAAACAGATTGGAGCTGTACAGCCGCCAGACGCAGGGACTTCCCCACGCCAGCCTGGCCGCTTTGATCTCGGGGTTTGGAGAGCACATCAAAGCGGCACTTTAGGAAGCGGCTTTCTACTGTACTGAGAGCGCGGAGTGTACTGTAGGTCGCCACTGGAGCTCGCACGGGGTCACGGGGCCGACCGCATACCACGCATACTCCTGGTACAGATGACGACCCTGGCTCCCTGCCTCCTTCACAGTTGGCCTTTTTTAGGCCTTTTGCAAGATGGGCTCTGGTTTCAAATTCCCAGCCCCGAGTCAACCCATGGGGCTCAGCCTTTGCTCCCCAAAGTCCTGTCTTTCTTTCCCCACAAAGTCTGGTGCTGGGGGGCAAGGCCTCTTGGGTCTACAGGCATCTGCTCCCTCCCATTGGGAGCAAAACAACCTTGTAAATCAATGTCAGAGATCCTGCATGCAAAGGTGGAGCCTGTGAGAGGTGAGGTAGGGTCAGACCGTAGGTTGTGCATACCCTACTGTGTCTAGGGTATGCACAAAGTGCCCCTCCTTGCAGCATGTGAACGAGCCTTTGCTGCGGCCACGCCAGACCCAGCCCCCTGCTCCGTCCCTGGGCGATGCCAGTCAGTTATAACAGGGGAATGATAGGGGTGGAGGGAGCTGGTCATGTCTGGCTTTCAAAGACATCGGGGGCGTCTTGCACTGTGGCAGGGACCAGGTACCTTGCAGGGGCCTACTTTCAGGCAGCTTTTACTAGTTATAAACTGATAATGGGGCAGACCCATCCCTTAGGCAGCATCCACAGACCCCAGCCCACAGAGAAATCACAGCCTCTCACCATCACCCACAGCATGCTAGGCTTTGTAACCCACTTGTCCCCAAGTACAGTGGCAACAGGTTCAGGCTGTTTCAGACTGAGGCTAGTTGCAAGATTGGGGGCCCTTTCACAACTCCCCATCAATAGCTCCATTTCTCCTGTACCTGCCATCTCTACCTGGGCAACACCTACATCCAAGTATGCACAGAGAGCCAGGTACTAGTGAGTTAAGGGGTTGGGGAGCAGTTGCTATTTGTCAGCTACTCCAGGGTAACTTCTGCAAGTCTGTCTTATCCCTGGGTAAGTGGCCGGAAGCTAAGGTCTGCTCTACCTTGAAACATTTTGCTAGCAGGACCCTGGGCCTCCTGGTACATCCACACCTAACTAAGATTGCCCGGGGCTTTGCTTTTGTTGTCATTCTGTTGCATGGAGTCTGTGGTCCTTTCCCTTCCTAAGTGCATGGCATGCTGCCCTGGCTTCTCCAGACACCCGTCTGCTCTTGGCTCGCAGATGGCCGCTACCTGCAGCTAAGCGAGGGTCCAGCTTCCACTTCCCTGTCACAGTCGCCCTGCACTGGTTGGCTCCCCTTGGAGCTGGGAAGGGTGGGGAAAGCTGGCGCATGCGGCACTTGCTTCAGGCCAGGCAGTTCCTTCGGCTTGTTTATGCGTCCTGGGAATGAGATAAGCGCTCTTCCTGTTCCTTCGCAAACATACACAGGCCCCATTTCCTTTCCCCGCCACTGCTGAATGCACAGGACCCCATCCAACTCCTCCTCCTCCTCCTCCTCCTCCTCCTCCTCTCTGAGACAAAAAAGCCTGAACCGCCCAGATTCCAAAGCTTTCCTCTTGGCAGGGAGCTCTCTGCAGGCTTGGAAATGTTTGGCTTTCAGCTCCGGGGCAGAAATGGAAATGCAGCCTCACACGGGGGTGAGCCAGCAGCTCCTTCCAGGGGTGCACAGCACTGCTGGGGGGGTGCTGTGAGCTCTTTTGCAAAGCTTCCCTTTGTCTGGACTCAATGTGTACACGTCCCCTGGAATAGGAGGTTGTCACACCATAGGAGACTCGAGCCCACTCAGCACCCTCCCCTTGCTTCCTCCACACAGTTATTTGTAGTTATTAATTGGGTTTCTCTTCCCTCCAATATAACATGGTTCCTCTTTTAAGGTTGAAAGGATAGGAATGATTGCTTCCTCTCCTCGACAAGCCTTGATCGGGACTCTTCCCCTTCTACTTGAGCCCAGGTGGGAATACAATGTAGATGCGAGTCATTTGGACCCTGGTGGGAGTTCTGCCCTCTCCATCTCAGTCCTGTACCTGGAACAGGAGTCCTAGTACCCAAGTATTCACTTCACAATGTGTGGGTCCATGGGCAAAGTGTGTATTAGGTCCCACTGCCGACCTGTGGCAAGTTTAGGTAAATATAGTGAGGAAAGGAAGGATAAAACCAAGTTGAAAATGGAATGTCACAGCCCTGAAATTTCTGAAGTGTTTTTTGAAGGGTTTTTTTTTGTGTGGCAAATTATCATTCCAATCAATCTTTTTGCTCCTAGAAATTTCATTTCTTTGAAAACCAGTGTTGTGTTTTGGTCAAAACAAAGTTTCAAGGGAAAATTTCCAGCTAGGCCTTCTCTTCTCCATCACCCCGAGAGGATGGGGTGGACAATGCAAGATGCCTTTGGACTCTTAACAGTCTCCGCAGCAGCCAGCTGGCCAAATTTACTTCTTGGATGCTACATGAGACCAAAGGCAGAGCCTTGAAGAGCTAAAAAGAGCCCGTAGGTCTCAAGATGTGGTATCTTGGACAAGGTTAAGAGCAGCATTCATGTCTGAGAATCCAGTGTCCAGGCCTGATGCTGCCCATCCAAGGGTGTGGCCAGGATCAAGGGCAGAGCCTTATGCCCCTTCTAGGTGAGATGGGACTCTTTAAGGAGATACAGTTGGATTAATGGGCAAAGCTGCTGTTCTTCCTCATGTGATGGGGTAGCCTGAGACTGTCTTTGCTGTCCTGAGGTGGAATCTGCTGGAGCTGTCTTCCACGCTAGCAGCAATTCTTACCCTGGGAAGAAAGGTATAGAGCACACGTGCACATGCACACATGCAGAAATGGTTTCCTGTGCAGGAATTGAACGGTTAATCTGTTTTTTTGCTCCTTGGTTGCCCCGCCTCTGCACAAGGCATGCTGGGATTTCCTCCCAGCTGTTTTGCATCAGAGGGAGTTGTGCATTAGGGAAATTCCAGCGCACAGCTGCAGCTCATCCACTCCGCATTCCCAAGCCCTGGCATTTCACGCGCCACGTTCCCTCCCCATGGTCTGGCATTGACGCTGGTCCATCCCTACACAGTGGGAAGTGCAAAGAGCCTTTATTTTGTTAGCCTGTATCCCAATACACAGGGCAGTGAGGCACACACATAGCGCAGAAGACATGTAAAGCAGTATTACCCAAGCCTTGTGGGGCTGGGCAGTGCCAGGGGCAGGTGCACAGCGCATGTCAGGTTAGGTCTGAAATTTGTTCTGTTCTTCACTTCCGTTATACAACAGCATCTTCAAAAGCAAGGCAGTCCCTCTGCATGGGTTGGTCATACCTTCAGACCCTGTGTAGACACTGTCCCTGGGTACATCAAGTTCTCTGTCATCTGTGCTATGATTCTACTGAAGATCCAGGGCAGCCCGACAGAGACGCACAATTACCCAGACCCTCCCGTGGACCTGGGGTACAACGCAAGCTTTCTCCTACTCCTCTGGAGCTTCTCCAGTCTTCCAAGACTTGCTGAGCATCAGCATTCGTGGCCTGGAGAGTGCTTTCCTCATGGAAAGCACTTGGGTCTGATTTATAAATGTCTAACTTCTGTAGCTGTTTGATGTTCCCCGCTCCCTTGCCCCTTAGTAGCACGGTTGGTTTCACCATTGCTGTGTGACAGGGACCTGTTCTCTGACTTTCTCCTGAGCATGGACAGAAATATTGAGTGGATGCTTCTGTCTTCTCTGCCCTGTGGACGGTTCTCCCATTCCAGCTAGCAAAACGTTATTTGAGTTCCTTTGTCCCGATACACTCCTGTTCCTAGCCTGCTCCTCTCTGTCTGTTGAATTTCATTGGCTAATTTTCTATGATACTTAGCTAGTGATTTATACCTTTGCTATCCATTTCCTTCTTGGTGTAATGCAATCTATTTCAGGTCCCTCTGACCTGCGTGTGGCTTTTGGGGCATCTAAGGAAATATTCTCAAACCATTCTCTATTATGGCTCGTGTTTTCTTCTTTCAGCTGAATTATGTTCGCAGCTGGAAGGGTGGAAGAAGTGATTGAAGGATAGGAAAAGCTGAGGTTTGTCAGGTCCAGCCTGAGAGGAGGAGTGCCCTTTTGGCTGGGGTGGAGCATGAGCACAACCGCTGCTAGGCACCAGCATTCAGCTCCTCTGTGTTGTCCTCCCACCCCAGAGCCCCACTTCTTCCATGTTACAGCTCAGATAAGTGAGACAAGCCCCCCATGTCCCCTCGCTTTGTTTCACAGTGACCCTAGAGCAATGCTCACCATATGGCTCTGGCAGGTTAGCCCTGGTCTTACCATGTCCCCACACACAGCACTGCCACCAGCTTTGACATTGCAAGACACTGATGAGTGCTGGCAAGCTGAGTGGATGGAGGGGGTTGGCCATGCTATGGGGGCAAACTCTGGGATGGTAGTAGGGCTTCTTGGACGGGCATCAGGAAATGGCAGAGAGGGTGGACTTCCACTCCCATTTGGGTCTGGCTGGCCTAACCCTGTCTACACGCATGTCTGTGCTATCCATTGATTCCTAACAGGCTCCCAGCTCCTGCAGCCCGTTCACATGCTCCATCCCAGCACCCACACTGTCCCCCTCACAGTGCTGGCTGCCACAGACAGACTAGACCCAGGGCAGGGGTAATGGGCCCAGGTCTCTCTGGGCATCACATGGCTGAAATTAAGGGTATGAGCTTGCAGGAAGAGGGAAACATATTGCTGTGAGGTTGGAGGCCACCAAAAGAAAAGAGTGGGAGGGGGAGGAAGAGGAGAAGTCTCTGTACAGAGAGCAGGTGGCATCTTTGGCAGAGGAGGGCAAGGCCATGGCCCCAGTGCCATACGGAGGTGTGCTGCAAGAGGTATATGGATCCTGGTTCACCCTGGCCCCCTCACCCTTCGAGTGCTTGCCGCATGGCAGTTGGTGCCTCCTGGCAGGGCTGGCCCTGAACAGCTGGACACCCGCCACCCTGGAGTGTCAGCAGCTGTCAGCCCTTGGGAGCCGCTCAGCAGGCAGTGCTCAGTGCCGGGGCTTGGAAGGGATCCCGGATAGGGCTTTGGTTCATTGCTGTGCTTTTGCCAAGGGAACTGGGTGATTGTTCACAGCTGGAGGAGCAACACCCTGCAGGGACAATTCTGGGACCCCACTACAAGCCCTGGGCCTTTAGGGACTCAGTGCCACTCTCCTCCTTTTAGTGCATGTCTCTCGGTATTTGCTTCCTTTTAAAACCCCTGGTGCTGGAATCACATGAATGCATCAGGATTTTTACCCTTCCTTCCCTGCCCCAGTGCTCTTTGTACAAGTTTGTAGCCCTTCTGCCTGGGAAGAAAAGAGGGCCTTACTCCAGCCTTAAACCTAGAATGCATGGAGCAGAGACCAGGCTGCAGAAGCGTATCCAAAAAGATCATCACTGTGTTGAAGCCAAATTCATGATGCTGGTGGGATGGGGGCAGATTGCAGCTGGGAGTCTGGGGCCGGCAAAGCTAGAAATTGTCCCTTGAAGGACACAGAGAACCAGAGTGTCATTGCCATCACCCTCTGGGGACCCTGCAAATGGAGAGGAGGGTTGGGAGGTGGGTGAGTGAGCCAGAGGCCTTGGTGCTGTTCTCTTCAAGCTTAGAGAAGGTTCTCTTGGAGCAGGTCAGGGCATTGAGCCCTGTGCCAGAGAAGGAGGGGGAGGACTGGTCAGGATCAAAGCTGCACAAAGTTACCTCAGGCTGTAAAAGGCAATAAAACAGGAGAAACCAGGTGTCTGTGCCAGACCCTCTCTGTACAGTGCAGTGGCCGTGGAAAGGTTCTGCCGTGCTGGTGACACGATGGGGGTGAATTTGCAGGCTGACTTCCAGCTGTGGGGATGGCTAGCTCTTGGGGCAGCAGCAGCGTGGCTGTGGTCTGCTGTCTCTCTGCCATGATCTGCCAGGGGGTGCTGGACAACAGCTTATGGCAGGCACAAGGTGGCAGTGAGTGGGTGGTGGTCAGTTAAGGAAGAGGGGCATGCAGCTAAGAGCAGCCCCCATGTCTGAATTCACATGTCCCATGAGGGGATGGTTTTGCTGAGGCCACTGCCCATTTGTGGAGGGTAGCCCCTGGGTGGAGATGCATGTATTCTCCCTCCCACTTCCCTCAGTGCCTGCTCCTCATGTGTGAGACCCTGCAACACTTCCCCAGCAGCCTGGGGGTCCCTAGCCAACTGCTGATGCTTGTATTCTGGACACCAGTGACCTGAGCTGGGGGCACACACCTTCCTATATGGGCATGGTAACAAGAACTAAGAAGCTCTGGGGGAGAGCAGTGGGGCCGAGGGGTGCCCCCTTGCCTTCCCGGAGTTGGTGGTGCCACCCTGCTAGTGTCTGGGTCTCTTGCAGTACCTGCAGATGAAGTGGCCACTGCTCGACGTCCCGGCTGGCGCGACACTGAAGGATAGCCGGTCACCATCGCCCGCACACTTGGTGAGTACTTGGATGCTTGGTCCTGCTCCAGCCTGTCCTGCTCAGCGTGGGTGGGGGACTGTTTGCATGTGGCTACCTCTTACAGGTACCCCTGGCTGTCCAACCAGTCACTTACCCCTCCGGTCTCTGTGCTAAGGCAAGAAAGTGGCTTCTGAGCATGGGACATGGGTGCATTTGAATACCCCCATTCTAATGCTTCAGGTGCCTGTGAGTTTTCCCTGGCCCTGGTGCCCTCAGGTCCCTCCTCTGGGGGCTTTGGTTCCTTCAAGCACCAAATGACTCCCCCTCCTATCTCTCCCACAGTCGAACAAGGTGCCTGTCGTCCAGCACCCACACCATGTCCACCCACTGACGCCGCTTCTCACTTACAGCAATGACCGCTTCTCCCCAGGCTCTCCACCTGCCCACCTCTCACCAGAGATCGATCCAAAGACAGGTGAGCCCAGGTTGGCACAGCTGCCAGCCTGTGCATATGGCAGGTGGGGGAGAAGAGTCTCTGACCAGACCCCAGGCCCAGGGTGTGAGAGAAAGGGGAGCTAACTAAGGTGCCACTAGCAGGGATAGGAGAAGCCCTTCAAGGATGGTTGCTCATTACTTTAGTGCTGCTCCAGCCTCAGCTCTTGAATCCAGACCTCCTCACAGTTCCCTGAACCTAAGCACTGGGAGGGACAGTTCTGCCTGTGGTGACGGGGAAGGGAGCATTGGGCTGGATATACCAGCCCAGACCTTGGGAGAAGGTCTTTTGGTGCCGAGTAGGGAGACAGCCCTGTCAGCTGAGCTGGGCTCGAAGACAGTAGGATCCCCAGTTGTGCAGGGGCTCTTGCCTGTCTTCCTGGCATGTTTCAGGCTTGGGTGGTCCCTGGGGTGGGAATGCCTTCAGCATTGTCCCGGGGGGTCTCTACAAAGTTGAAATCATCAGAGCACCAAAAAGAAATCTTGAACTCTCTGCAAAGGCTTCACGTACTCCTGATTAAAGCACAGATACAGAGGCCATGTCTTGGGGAAGGCTATGAGCCTTCTCAAAGGGGCACTGAAGATTGCTGGGGCTGTGATTAATGACTGCTTCTTTTTTTCACCCCCATTCTGGCACAGGAATCCCACGGCCACCTCACCCTTCAGAGCTGTCTCCTTACTACCCGCTGTCACCAGGGGCCGTGGGACAGATCCCTCACCCGCTGGGCTGGCTTGTGCCACAGTAAGTACCTGGAGGAGGCGACACCACTGGTTTCTCTGAGGCTAGCATAGCTCATCCTGTTCCAGACCCACCCAGTGCCCAGTGGCGTTTCAGACCACGACCGCACAAGGAGCAGAGCTTCTTGTTGTTGCTCACAGTGAAGCCAAGGCCCAAGTCGAGTCAGTTCCAACCCCCAGAACTTGCATTCCATTTTCCTTGTAAAGTACATCACCTTGCCTTACTCCACATGGAACAGCATTTGCACCCTCCTGCCCAGACCTCTTGGATGGGGCATCCCCTGTGAGCTTCCCCACAGCCCCCTCCAGAATCCATCATCTAAAAGAACCACATCCTTGGTAGATTTTGCCATCTCGTTCTGTGCACTTCCATTTCTGGGCCATAATACACTGATACTTAAAGGCACCCTAGGATTTTGTAATATTCCTCTTTATTGTGTGGCTGCCAGACAGAAGAGGGTCATGTGAGGCACCTGGCTGCATTGCCATGCCTTACCACATTTTGTTCCCTGAGCCTTAGCTCTGTAGGATATCTGGGAAGTGTCCTGGGTTCAGACCATGAAGTCAAAAAAGGACCAAGTTTCTTGATAAGCCCACTTCTTTAGTTGGTTTTCATTCCAAATACTCAATGGATTTACTAGAAAGATTTGTGCCTTTCCCAGGGAGTGACTCATGAGATGGAAGACTGGTATTGCTCAGACATAGTGATGAGTCTGAATTTCTGTTTGAATTGTCGCTGCTAATTATAATAGTAGCTTATTTATGTATGATTGAGCACACAGGAGCCTCAGTCCTGGACCAGGATGTTGTCATGCTAGGCACTGTATAAACCCACAACGTAAAGGCAGCCTTTGCCCCAAAGTGCTGACAGTCCAAGCATGATAGGCACATAGCTCTGGTTTAGTTGAGATGCTGTGAAAGACACACCTTTGCGATGGAAGCAGAGGGGAGCCTGTCCTCTTTATGTCATGGGACCTTGTGTTTGTTTGTAGGCAAGGACAGCCGGTGTACTCCATCCCTGCTGGGGGGTTCCGGCATCCCTACCCTGCCCTGGCAATGAATGCCTCCATGTCCAGGTGGGTATTGGGGTAGGAAGAAGGGCTGTTGACAGGGGCAGGACTCATCTGGGATTAGGATTAGAGATAGGAGGAGACAAAACCTAATTCTGGTGCTACACTTACGGGCTCTGCTGGGCAATACATTTGTGCTGAGAATAGGGACCAGGGCAGAGGGCTCCATCCACAGGTGTGGACACGCATACTGTGGATTAATTTATCATGGATTTGACCTGCAATATTTACTCTACAGTCAGTTCTTCTTCCTTTCTCCTTCCCCTTTCCTTCCCTACCCTTTGAATTCTGATCACTGCTTTCTGTTCAGAAGTTCTGCTTCCTGTGGTCCTGTCACAGCATCTGATGAAATCAGCCCCAGCTTATGAAAACTTGTGGATCTCTGTGTAGACATTTGCGCGCTCAGGAGACATTCTCCTAGGAGTGGTTTAACCCTGGTTGCTACCCAGGTTATTTTTCTCCTGGAATGGCCATTTTTACTCTGGGAGAACAAGCTTGAACATCTGTACACTCATGGTATCTCCTGGGAGAGCAGCAACTCTCCCAGAAGAAACCACATGTCTATATGATACCTAAGTAAGTCATTAGGATGCAAGTCTACCTTGCCTTTAGTTCCCCCAAACTGACTGCCCAAAGCAGGTGCTGTTACAGTGCCAGGCCACTTGGGGGCAGAGCCAGCTTGCGCTGAGCAAATTGCTCCTGGGAACAAAATGAAGTGGTAGCAGAAGCACAACTACTACACCAGAGTTATTTGACTTCTGGCTTCCTCAGAAGCAAGTAGACACAGAAGTAGGAGTGCACCAATAGAGATACTGATCACTTTGCTTTACTCCACATGGAACAGCGTTTGCACCCTCCTGCCCAGACCTCTCGGATGGGGCATCCCCTGTGAGCTTTGGGGCTGATACTGATAGTTGATTTATAAGGAGGCATATCGGCCCATACTGATCTGATTTTTCTGATACAGCTGCCCCCAGTGTGGTGGAAGGGGAGGGGGGAGGGGCGTGAAGGGCACAGATGCAAGTGGGGGGTAGGGGCAGGCACTGCTCGGGTGGCGGGGGAGGGGTGTGGAGCCGCAGCTCATGGAGGTGTGGCTCCCACTGCTGCTTGCACTCTGGGAGGGTATGACGGGGCGGGGGTGCCCCCAGATCTGTGCTGGGTGGGGTGGGGTGGGGCGGGCTGCAGCTGTGGCTGTGTGAGGCTCTTCTTGGTGGGGGCAGGGCTTGGAGTGAGTGCCGGTGGCACTGGGAGGATACCCCAGATTTCGCCACTGCTCCGCTCTCAGCACAGTCATCACCACCAGCTGTCCAGCACAGCCCCGACTTCCCAGTGCACAGGTGGAGGCGGGTTGTTGACCCCAGGCTGCTCTGGGCGGCTGGTGACGGTGGTGCTGGGAGTGGAAAAGTGGCGAAATTTGGAGTGGATGCAGCATCCTCCCAGTGCTGCCAGCGCCTGCTCCAAG